GCAGGATTTGAATTTTTGAGGGAATGGAAGTATACAGGTTTTCAAAAGTTTGTTTTTCTGGGTAGATTCAATTTATTTAGGTTTACATTAGTTTCAGTTTCTACAGTTATAAAAAGAAGTCTAAAGACTGATGGAATCTTGTCAAAGAACATGAGTTACAGCTAATAACCCAAGTAAAGAACAGTTATGTGGCACCATTCAACTCCAGACATAAAAGTATTTGCAAATGAAGTAATAAAACATGCAGTAAAAAAATATCTCCATTTTATAGGGGGCAAATGGAGGCCTAGAGGTACTAAAGTGGTTGCCATGGCAACCAAGAAAATCTGTGACAAGAACAGCACACAATGTTTGTTTCACTGTCTTCTGTAGCAGTCTCTTTTAGGTTTTTCTTTTTGTCTTTTCGGCATATTTTGTATTTCTTTACCGTCATATCACATCTCTGCTGGCTTGTCTCAGCTGCTTATTCTCCACATTTGATAAACACTTTCTGGTTTGCAAGCCTTAACTAACATTTTTTTTCATTACTTGTAACAAAATAATTTGATTTTTTTTATTAAATGTGTATTTTAAGGTTGTCTTGTAATAAGGCATGACAAAGAAGATCTTATTTTAAGAAATCTTAAAGCAGAAATAGCCTCTGGTCTCAACTGAAGTCAATGTATGTCCACAAATATTAAGGGTTTTATCTTCCAGCAGCAAATTAGAATGAAGTTATTTTTTCTGTGGGTAGGAAGTCTGTGTAAAACACTCTGCTATTTTTCTTTGAGTTTTTAACTTTGGTATCAAATTCTCAGTTCGCATGAACAGACATCGCTCCAGTGAAATCAATGACACATAAAGAAGTTCTACTCCAGAGTCACCAAGTTTGTTCTCCTACATACATTTCTGTAGGTGGGTAATTTTTCTTCATAAGCTCACACATAAAAGGAAGGGCTGTCCTGACCCTGTGAACTGCACACTTTTATCTCTAATAACTGGCAGCCATCTTCACGGCGCTGAGGAGAGCTGATGCAACAGCTCAGCATAATTTTGCACAGCAATAATTCTCCACTGCAGCTCAGTCGTGCTCCACAGGGGGTTGGTTGTAGGCTGGCTTGCATATATGTCAGCTTCAGCAGCCCTTATGGCTGGCTGCTTCTCTTAGCCAGGCAGTGGGTTTCCACGAGGCTTTGAGCCAAAACATTCTTACTGCTGCCTACATTGACACCTGCATTGGAGCTACTGTAATCTGATTACTTCTGATGAGCCTGGCCAAATCCCACATTTGGGATCTGTTTTACCATTGTGTTCCCTCAGTTAAACTAGTTAAATACCAAAATAAAACAATCTTTTAGTGCCAAGACACAAGTTCCTCTCTGCATTTCCTTAGATACTGCACTCGCATCCATTTCTGTAAAGCAATTAATGGCCTTCTGTGATTTATACACTGTATAACTGCCCTGTCATGTTTTTGAGTGAAGGTATATTTCAGATTTCAGAAGTCAGAGTTCTGCTACCAGCACTCCTCGCTGTTTCAGTATTTCAGGGGAAAGGCAACCTAACTTTAGATAAGGCTAAGCATTTTAGAAGCCTCTAGGTGACAGCAGTGGACACATCTCATTGACCAGAGCAATAGCAATGAGATTTCATTAGAAAGTATGAGAGCTGATTACAGAGTGTGAGGGCAACCACTTTCTCTTCCTCCTTTCAAACTCAGGAGTGTTAACATTCCATGTGAAATCCTCCCTGTCTTCTGCACTTCATACAGACCTGGTTACTCTTACTCAAGAAATAAATAAGCTTTGAGAAAAGTGCAAAGAAGGGCAACTAGTGAGATGAGGAAAATGGAGGACCTGCTGTGCAAAGGGAGAGACAGACCATTGTCCTGGGTTTAGCAGTAGCAGTCGTCTTTCTCCTTGGTAGCTGGTGCAGTGCTGTGTTTTGACTTTTGGCCTGGGAACAGAGCTGAAAACAATGATGTTTTGGTTTGGCCAAGGACTTGGTGAGCCTCATGCTCTGCCAGGGAGGAGGGGAAGCTGGGAGGAAGCAGAGACAGGACACCTGACCCAAACTGACCAAAGAGGTATTCCATACACAGCACGTCATGGCTAGGAGGTAACTGGGAGTTACCCGGAAGGACAGGGGGTCTTCTGGGTCGGAACTGTTTTTCAGTCGGTGGTATTGTATTCTCTTCCCTTGTTATTATCTCTTATCATTGTTGTCGTTGGTGGTAGCGGTGGTGATTTGTGTTGTACATTGGTTGCTGGACTGTTCTTGTCTCAACCTGTGGAAGTTGCATTCTTTCGATTCTCCTCCCCATCCCTCCGGGAGCAGGGAAGGGGGGAGCCCCCAGGGCGGGGGGGAACGCAGGCCTCAACTGCTTCCAGCTCGGCACCCCTCACTGGGAGTGAGTGCACAAGCTGTCTGGCTGGGTTTAAACCACGACAACCATGATTTACCAAAAGAGTTTCAGGAAAGCATTAATTCATGTTCAAGAACAAACTGGATGGATAAATATCGATGAAGAACTGTTTAAGCTCAAGAAAATAATGGATGGTCTGCATTATGCACACACATTCAAGCTGGAAAGTGGAAAATTTCCAACAATAAGAGGACTGAGTTTCTATTTCCAATATGAGGGGAAGGAAACCAACTATAGTGGATTTTTTTCTGACCACAGTGGAGCTTGAGTGGTCCATGACATAGTTGCCTGCAGCAGCAGCAGCAATCCCTGCCAGGACTGTGTCTTTGAAAAAAAACCCAACCAGCTCTGCTGTAAGGATTGTGGATGATTAAGTGAACATTACAGAAGTGTCTTACATAGAATTCATTCTGCTCCAGCTATGCTAAAAACTGAATAAATATGGGTAAAAGGATTGTCCTGTTTGCAATGTTTGCCAGTATTTCACCTCAGTGTGAAAAAAAATGACCTTCCTGTTGCGAGCCCTGATGAAATTCACTGTATGTATGAGGAGAAAAAAATAATCTAAACATTTAAATGATACAGGAACCTACATACCTATAACTTTGCAATTATATAGTTACTGTGGTTATATAGTTATTCCATGCATACAGTTACACTTACAGGCAAGAGTAACAGCAGACCTCTAAAATGTATAATGGAATGAGATTTTTTGCTTGCTCTTCACTTGCTACCCCTTTTCTTATGTAGCCACCTCATGCTTTTTACTGAATCCTTTACTTAGCTCCTGTGTTCAGGAAAAAAGCTTGTTCTTGTGCTCCTGTAGTCACAAAAACATTTTCTGATTTTTTGAGGCTCTCTTTGGCTTCTCATGCATCTTCCAGGCTATTTTTGGCATTCTGCTTTTCTGCCCTTTCATTTGGCCTTTCTCGGTTTTTGTCTCTGTTGTGTTTGCTGTTTCTGTCCTTTCATGCTGATAGTCTTTGCATTCTAGGTGCTGAAAAAAGTACAGGACAAGCAACATCCCATAAGGCCTAAACGCTGAAAGATGATCTTCTTCATCTTGGTGGAATACCCCTTTTCCAGTACTTTTCTTTCCAAATACTCTCTTCCTTCCTATTCCTACTGTGAAGGTTCCTATTGCTGCTTCTTCATTATCTTTCCTTTATGTTAGGCTATTACTTACCTTTTTTTTTTTTTTCTCTCTTTTTGACCATTACTCTCCTGCTCCTGTCTCAGTGTACAGCTGAAATACAGTTTTGCTAGTATGTGTTGCTGAGGTTGGATTCAAAACCCGTATTCGTTCTGTGGAGTTTCTTTCACACCAGAGTTCCCTGCGTGAATATACAAATGCATGTTGCCCATTGCAGAATCTCAATGCTGGGAATGACTGTGTCACTCTGCTCTTTAAATATTGGGGAGCCCACTTCAAATACAATACCATGTTCCATGGTATTGTAAGTTTAGTACGGACAAACTTCCAACTCTTAATTACTTAAATCAGTTTAGAGACACTTCATTTATGGCCACGTTCTGCTTTCAAGGCTGACCTTCCCCCAGAAATATGCTTTGTGGTGAAATTTATGTTTTAGTGATCTTTTTTATCTAATCATGTTTGGTGAAAGCTATGTCAGTATTAGACATGCATGGCCAGTGCAATGGTTAAGTTCTGATGGCATGTTACAGACAAGGCCTGGGGACTGAGAAACTCTTTTCTTCTGGGGTTATGATGGGCAAGGGTTGATTTCTGTGGACTCGCGGCAACTCAAGACTCGTGTGATGTCGGCATGAACCGGGCTGTTGGCTTGCTCCGGAGGTGAAAACTGCTGTAGGCACCGCCCTGCTATTGTGAAAGCTGTTAACGTTTGGGAAGTGAACATGAAGAAACTCCAGGCTGGGACCTCTTTAAACCTAAGGCAGCCCCCTCGTGGCGGTTTACGTTCTGAAGCAATTGTTCCAAAAGCCGATTCAAAATAGCTATTGTTTGGAGAAGAAATGAACGCTTCAGGACAATGATCCCCTGGGCACTGAATGCTCCCTGGAGCGGCTTGGATTTTCCTTTCTTTACTTTCCTCCCGTCCTGCAGTTACCTTTTGTTTGCTACAGATCTACTAGGTTAAATATATTAAATATGAACCACTGCAGCTGCTCAACCTTGCTCACATCGTTATGACTTCAGTCCTTGGCTCTTGTATTAACAGCTCAAAACGCGAACAGCAGGGGAAAGAGAACCGCTGGGTTGCGAGACTGGTTGTGAGGTGTCAGTGCTGAAACGGGCGATGCTGACGCTGAGAGGACGGGAAGAGAAATCGAAGGACTGAGAAATGCAGCCAGGAGACCCCTGCGCCCTGGAAGCGCTCACGGGCCTTGTGCATGGGAGCTGCTCAGGGCCAGCAGCCAAGCGAGACCGCAGCCAAGACAGGCTTCCGGCAGCTGCGCGGGCGACCAGCGCGGTGAGCGCCGGGTTGGGGCAGGATGCCCGTGATTGGATGTTTAACAGCGCGGCCCCGCCCCCCTGCTGCGGCCGGGCTCGCACGCTGCTGCCGCTAGCCAATCAGAGCAGCCGCTGCCGGTGACGTTACGGAGGGTAAGGTGCTGGCGCAGTTTGAAATCTCGGCGGGCGCAGCCGCGCGCGCAGTATGGCGGAGCAGGGGCCGGCGGGGAGCGCTGCGGAGGCGCAGCGGGAGAGCCGCGACGGTGCCGCGGGCAGCGCTGCCCGGCAGGAGCGCGCCGGGGACTCGAAGCCAGGTGGGGGCTTGCCCGTCCCACGCGGGGCCGCCTGCAGTCGGCGCGCCCCGGTTCTGGCGCCGGTCATGACGGGTTCGGCGAGGCGCAGGGAGGGCCGCCGGCACCGCGGGCAGGGGCCCGCGGTTTGCCCGGGGCGGCTGTGCAGCTACGGTGGGGTCTGCGCTGGAGCGTGAGGCGGCCGCTGAGGCGGGGACTGTGGAGCCAGAGCAGCCTCTGCTGTGCTGCTTCCTGTGCCCAGTACCTCCCCGAGAGGGAGTGGACAGCGGTGCTCTCGACCGAGTCAGGCAGCGGCCCGGCGCTTCCCGGACCGCGCTTTGAGCGATGCCCTGCGGGGAGCACCCGGTGTCTGCGGCCATGAACACAGCGATCCTTCTTTTTTCTGTTGTGAACTTGGGGCGGGTGTCTCCGGTACAAACCACAGACACTTGTGTCGGCGTCCAGCAACATCTGTGCGTTTGAAACGCTGACAGGAAAAACCCTTTCCTGGGAGAGACCCCTGCCCTCTGCCTTAATAGCACAGCATGAGAATATCGATGGTAGTTAGTATCCAGGGAGTATCATTGCTCAGTGCCAGGTCATTATTGATGCGAAGTTATAGGCTTGCAGTTTGTAAACAAAGTGTAAGCTGAATTAAATGGCTTGTTCTGGAGCGTATGCTGTGCTCTAGTACAGGGCATGGCTATTGTAGTTCCTGTATTTGATTATGGGTGTGTAGGAAAAAAACCTTATTTACAGCGTATGTGTAGCATAGCTACAGTTTTACAATAAGCACTTAAAATATTTCATAAATCGTACTTGATGAAAATCGGCTTTTCCTTTATTTATGTGTTTCTGCTACAAAGAAAATTTACATTGCCTAGATACTTGTAACTGGCTCATGCACTGGTTCTGATTAGGTTTTGCTGGTTGAGTTTTGTCCCAAATATGTAAATTTAAAAAAAAATTGAGGCCAAAGCTGCTAGCTTTCATGACACATCCTGAAATGTAAGGGATGAGTTAAAAACAGAATGTGATTTGATTTTTTTTTCTTTTACATATCTACATCTAGATATGTGGTAAAGGACAGACTGTAGTTAATAAAAATGCGTAAGTCTAGGAACTGTTAAAGTATCGAGGTATGGGCAAAGAGCGTGTCTTGAGCTGTTGCATTAATGAAAAGGAAAAAAACCACATCATCATTGCCGTTGGTTTACTACAGTCATTTACATGCTATTTTCCGAACTCAGGGATGACCAGGACTGAGTGATACTGTAAGACCAGCCATGACTGAGTTTGTAACACAAAGTGGAGACACTTCTTGGAGAACTGCTGTCATTGCCTAGTAACCTTCAAAGAACAGATTCAGCCAGTGTCCATTTAAGTGGGCTAAAAATTGCAACACTCCCCCTTCTGACTGAATATGGTCCTTGGAATTTCCATGTTATTTGTTAGTTTATTAAAATGCAAAATCAGTGCCTGCACTGAAGAACAGGAAAAGACTTAAGGGGAGCTGTGAAGTCACATCTTTAGCTGAGACTTGTATCTGCTGTTTTATAGTGCATCTTGTGTATGTTTTGCTGTTTGCTCACAGTAATCCTGTGCATTGTTTTGGATCATTTGTATACAGGATTAGCTGTTTTTATATATGTTCCAAAAGCAGTTGGATTATTGACTGATACCATGTCTGGGTGATGCCGGTAGTGTGCAGTGTACTAACAAGGCATAATACATACATGCATAGTAATGTATTACCTAAAGGATTTTATAGAATCATAGACTAGCTAGGGTTGGAAAGGACCTCTAGTTCCAGCCCCTCTGCCATGGCATGGACACCTCCCACTAAACCATGTCACTAAGTAAGCTAGCATGTAGCTGCAGCTCAGCTGTGTGGCAGCAAAATGGAAATCGTCTTCTCCTGCAGGGTAACCATCCTGAAGAAGAGAACAAGTAACTAAATAAGGCAGTCTCTTCACTAAGGATAATTTAAAACATGTAGAAAGCAGGTTCGTGATAGATCTTGAGCTGGAAAGGAATTCTGTTGGAATAGAGTGACTGATGGTTGCATTGAACTGACTGTGTGGGCTTTGCTTTGTTCCCACTCCTCTCCCCAGATCTGCTCCAGGAAGATGATGATTCCAGCAGTAATTATGGCAGTGGTGATAAACCAGGGACTACTTTAGGAAGGACTATGCCAAATGGGAATATGCGTTTTCCTGATATTTTTCACACCAATTATCTTTTGTTTTATGAGCGATTTAAAGCTTACCAGGATTATATCTTGGGTAAGTAATTTCTTAGGGAATATGCAGTCGGGTTTCTTGTAGTGACTTATTAAATAATCCAGTTTAAGTGGAGTTGATTCTGTATTAAACTGTAAGGTGATCTTAACTGGGCTTAGCAAAGATGTAGTGTGCTGTGATCGCTTATGCTGCTATTGATGATGGATCAGGAGGCAATGGTTTCAGTATAAGTAAATAAACTCTGAAAAGCAGAGGTGCTAATATTGGATTCTGTGCCTTGTTTTAACTGATCTTACTAGTACTTTTTTTGTATGTAATAAGGCACAGGCTAGCTGTTTAATACCACTGGCACTGAAACCTTCAGTACCTAGAAGTTTGAGTACTGTATCTCTTCCTCTAGAGAAGCACAAAACAGATGTCTCTCCAGCTTTCTGAGAGAGACACACAGCGAAAATGCTGGTGGTTATCATGAACAAAACAGAATGAATTCAAACTTCAGATGTGAAAGAGAAAGACTTCAACCGCGTTGACTTTCACTTTCTGGTGAGCTGAATGACCTTCTTTGCATAAATTGCTGTCTTCAATTTCTTTAGCTGACTGCAAAGTTTCTGAAGTGAAAGAATTCATAGCTGAGTACCTGGTGAAGGTCCTTGAACCATCTGGATGGCAGGCAGTCTGGCGCACTGATGTGTTTGATGTCCTTGTTGAGGTAAATGCTCAGGCATTGTCTCCAACTAACATAATTTACCTCTAACAGACAGATCACTTATAAATTTAGGATCTGACAGAAAATAATAATGTTTTCATATCTAATTGCTAGTGATGGCTAGAGCAATGGGAATTTTTTTAAGGGTCCTTGTTTGAAACTGGAAGGGGAACACCAAATCGGTGTGAGCGAGTTGTGAGGTAGAACTCTGGGCACAGAGGGAATAAATACTTGGTCCAGAGCTGGCTGGTGTAATGTAATCTTTTCAAATATCAGCCTCTGATAATTTCTCAGGGTTTTGTTTTTTTTTTTTTTTGTTTGTTTGTTTGTTTGCTTTTAATCAATAAAATTATTTATTTTAGCCCACCTTGGTACTGACAATTGTTCTTCCACATTGTGCTCCTGTCAGAGACCCACTGAGGATGGCTGGTTTGGGATAGTTCTTTTCTAGGTATCTCAGTGTCCAAGTCATACGTCTTTTTGCAAACCTTGGATGTTCAAACTGGCATTTCCATTGCATATTTGATGAGTACAGACTGCTGACATATGCATGTCATGTTAGCCCTCCTCAGCTGTATCTAAGGTTCTGAGAAATCTTAAGAACTATTTGTTCTAACAGGTTGTTGATGTGGAGTATTCAGCTCTGAAAGCAGTTGTGCAACTCAGTGAGCCTTTCCTGTGTGAGTTGCGGGACAGCACCTTTACCTTGGAGTGCGTGCAGGAGCTCTTGGAGCTGAAGGAGGGAAAGATACTACTGCAGGAGCTGTGGGTTGTGTATGACGAGTCAGGAGAGTTAGACAACACAGCACTAGCTGTAGAGCATGTCAGGTAGGAAAAAACCCAAAGTTTAATTTTTGTCTTGAACAATGACACTCTCATAGTATCCAGTGGGTGGTGCCCTGAGTTCTTGTGGTCATGCTGGCAGCTCCACAAGCTAAGCTTTCCAAAAACTGGTGACTGGTATTCTGCGAAGACTGCTCACAAAGACAAATCTGTGGTGTCCTCTGCAGCTGCAGGTAATCACACAATAACCAGGTATGTTTGGCTGCAGCTTACTGTCAGTCTGCCTGCTGTGTCAAAAGCTTGGAAGAAAATAAGTTGTGTTTTCCTTCTCTTCAGGCAGATTTCCTTGGGCTGTATCACCTTGCTGGCTCTAGTGCATTGTTCCTTTCTTTTCTATAACATTTTGGTGGATTTTTTCTTTTCTGTTCTATTGTTTCTCTTTTTTGCTTTTTTGCCCCCCCCCCCCCCAAATTTTCTCTTTATTTTTCAAGTGTTCATATCTTCTATTTTCCTTTCTTTATCACCTCTGTCTCTTTTCCATCTCTCTTGCTTTCATACACTAAATACTGTGTACAAATAGGCAGTAGATGGATGAAACAGCTGAAATAGGGGGAGTGACCTGCCTGTCCGGAAAATGGGCCATTTCAAAAGTGATGGGTGAAAAGGGGGAGAAGAGACACATTCTACTGAGAGGTACTCCGTATTAGCGATCTAAGCTTGAATGATGGAGGTGACAAGCTCATTGCCAAAAAGAAAGTTTAGCTGAAGGATGCCTGTCCAAAACCAAACAACTTCCAAATCCAGCTGTTAGCTGTTGACTGTCTTGATGAAAATGGAACTTGGGCTTTTTAGGGATTTTCAACTCTAATGCACAAAATAAAACTCTTTATGCAGGTAGACAACAGAGAGCTTGTGTGTGCTAAATATTTTATAGTAACATGGAATTTGAGAAAGGTGATGCTTTGAGATGAATTCTGAAACTGGTTACATTTGCATTTTCAGTGCTGTTCTCCCTGCTGAGGTAAATGTGGTCTCCTTTATGCGATTAAATGCTTACTTTGCTTCAAAAGGTTCTTCTACCAGTGCATCTGGAGGACCTGGGATGAGGAGGAGGATGATGATTTTGATTACTTTGTGCAATGTGTTGAGCCTCGACTGAAATTGTAAGTGCAATACCTTTGATATTATTTGGATAGAACCACAGGAAAGGGTCGTGTAGTAATAGTGGCACAGCTAGATTTTTAAAAACCTTTCTTACTGGTAAATTTGAGCAAATTTATTCTAGCAGCATTCACTTCTGACAGTCAAAACCTTTCATGGAAAAAGGGTGCAGCTGAGACTGCCACTCGATTTCTGATCCCTCTGTTTTTCCGTGTCATCTTTGACCTTCCATCAGATGGCACTCCAGACGCAGCTATAGCCTCCTTCATGTGGATGTGAACTGTAATACTACCAGAGGATGCTCTGATGCCTCTGGGTGTAGACAAAGAACTGGAATGGAATTGAATGTAAACAAAAATTGTGAATTGGTCATGCTGAAGGAGGAATGTGTGCATTGCTTTCCCTAGTGGGATTAGTCAGCATTAGGTTTTCTGTAGGTGGGTTTTAAATGCTGTCCTGTCATGCAGAACTGAAACAGTGCATAAGGACATGATCTGGTTGTAGTTTTGAGGGTACCAAATAACCAAAGCATAAAATATACCTTGAAAGAATAATTGTAAATGATTTTTACTGTTTTCTCCCAAGGTTTTCTCCCAAGATTTGATGCTGTATCTTTCTTTCATGAGTTACTCTTCATTTTCTTATCATAACTTAGCACCATGAGTATCTGGCAGTTTGTGTGTCATTCAGATACCTGTTTGATACTGCTGTGATGCTGGGGACCTAAATCAGTGAATATTTGCAACCTACCCTGAAATGCTGTTTAGAATATAGCATGTAGCATGTACTTTACAAAGAAAATGAGTACAATTCTCTTTAAGACAGGACACAATGTGACTCTCAAACGGGACTGGGATGTGCCTGTATTTTTCTGAGATCATGCGAATGAGGAGGAAGTGTTATATATGGAAACTATACATGGTTCTGAAGTGTTTATACCAGTTCTTTCCAGCAAATGGCTGTTCTGTTGTTGAGTTTTTCCAGCCTCATGGAGATCTGCCATGGCATGAAACTAGAACAGACTGATGTGCCATGGGATAATGTTTTATTATATTTTTTAAAACTGTGTGGCCTTACAGCCGTTTTAGCAAGAATCATAGAATCCTAGAATAGTTAGGGTTGGAAAGGACCTTAAGATCATCAAGTTCCGCCCCCCCGCTATGGGTAGGGACAGAATGTCTTCAAGTAGAAAAGCGGATGTTATACTTTCTTTTTCTCTGATGCTTCAGCTCAGGAATAATAGGAAACATATTCAGTGCATGGAAACATAGTACACTGTAAACTTTTTGGCTATCTGGTGTGCACTGTTTTAATGAAGACAGTAGCTTTACATTGCACATTAGTTAAGTAAAGCTGTATGAACTGTATAACTAAAGCTTGAAAAAGCGAGATAGTTTTATGCATTTTCATAGTGCGTGCTCTAAAACGTAGAACGAATTGTGTACAAAATTGTTTCCTTCAGATATTTTATATTTCTATATTGCTATAAAATCATCTGCTGTTAATCATGCTGCATTGACTTACTCTGTTTCTAATAACCCCATTGCCAAAATTTTGTGAGGCTCTGTGTTTTTGTTCACCCTGTATAGATACTGACTGCTGTGACTACAAATTTTTGTGCTCTTTGAAGCGTGCTTTAAGTGCACCCTTTAAAGAATCTCTGGAAGTTGAGGGAACATCTTTGCCCTTATTTCACACAGCCTCTCAAATACAGCTCTGTATACTGTGTTCAGTTGGTTCCCTACAAAAGTGATGCAAGATAATTAAATCTTGTTTTATTTGTGTCACTAATTGATATCCAGCTTTTTTGTAGTGACCGTGATTGGTCCTACATGATTGGCTCTGAAGCTCGTGGCACTGTCTAGCTAGCGAATGTCCTCATCTTTTGACCTTGGCAGTGCAACTATGGGCTGGCATTTTCTGGCTTGCAATTTCATTTGTAGAAGTAACTGTTGGGACGGTGCAGGTTTTTCTATGCAGTGCCTTCCCATCTTCATCTGGTGCTCATAAAGCCTTTCTTATTCTGCAGTTTTGTTCAAGTAGTTTAGAGTCCTGCTAATAGAGACTTTACATTATAGGCTTTTTCTTTGACTTCAGACATGATTTTTTCAGTTTTTCTATTAAATGCTTAAAAGACTTAATTTTTATATATAATTACAAGTACTTACCATTTTTTAGAGCTGTGCTTATGCCTTTGTTTTACCATGATTTTCCAATACTTGTGTATGATCTTCCAAGGCGGATGGCCAACTCTTTAGGAAGTAATTTATTTGTGTCTGTTCATATTTTTGGTTTTGCTGCTTTCAGAAACTATTTAGCAGTGTTGATATAGACTGCACAGAATCTAGACTGAAGTACTGATGTACTTAATGTGTTTAAAAATTGTTCTCATATTCTGTGTTTAAAAATTGTTAATGTGAAATAATTGACCCCTTGCTCTGAACTGCAGGCATTATGACATCCTTGAACACCGTGTGCCTTCTGAGCTTGTGGCAAATTACCAGAAATACTTGTCTCAATGTGAAGAGCTTTACAGCAAGTTTTTAAATGTGAGGAACCACCTATCAAGCAGTGGTTTAGACTCGGAAGTAGAAAATGTCTCCATGGTGGAAGGACTAAAATTGTTTGAGAAAATAGAGCACTTAAAACGAAAGCTAAAACTAATTGAGAATCCTCTGCTGAGGTACTTGGTGGGTTTATGCAAGGAGGAGGGCCATATGGGAAACTATACAGGGACAGTCTTTAATAAAACAATGAATGCTTCGCTGCTCTTGTTTTAGGTACGTGTGTGGTTACCCAAAACACAGCAGTCTCCAAGCTAAAGGATTGAGACCAACAGGTGCCAAGATCACTCACATTGTGTCCTCAACCATGGTGGCAAGTATGCTGCAGTCATTGATAAGGGACAAACTTTGCCCTGAATCTTGTGGTGAAGAACGAGAAATACAGGTACAGCAGCAGGACTTGTCTGACTGCTAATAGGTTTTTTTTTTCTGCTTGAGAAATAGGGAAGAGTAAGTTAATTTATCATGTGCAAGATACTACATTTGTAGTGTTGTTTTTTGTCAGTTCAAAAAAAGCAGTATGATTTTAACTGTAAGTGGTAAGACTGGATAATACAAATCATTTCTTTTAATTCATTTGTCTGCTGAGTACTCTACAAGCAATTTCCTTCCTGTGTGTATGAAATGAGATAAACCTGTAATAATTCTACAATGAAACATGATAGGTATAATACTTATATATAATTCTGATATACAGGTTTCTTTTGATGTCGCTGATAATGACCTAGAATTTCAAGGAAGAAATATCATTCTCTTGTTTTAGTTCTGAGTAGGAGATACATTTATTTTGGAGCAGTCTAGTTCTAGTGAATTCAGACAGGACTTACCACTTTACTGGTTAACAGTTTGGATTCCCTGGGCACAAATGAAATTGCTTGCTGTATTCTGATCAAGTTCATGACTTACAGATGGCTGCAATGGAGCCACAGGGAAGGTCCTAGATTAATTTTTGGGCTATAAATCAGATTTTCTGACTTGACAATTGAAAGCACTCTTCTTATGCTTACCCTGGAATTTGCTGGGAAGTAATAAATGTGCACTTTCCCTGCACTGTTTGTAATGCTTCAGTACAGAATCCCCAATAGTACTTGTGAAGGGTATCAGCTGTCCTCTTTGGGCAAGAAAAAAGTCTGTCTAAACCCCATATTTACTACTGTAACATCTAAACTCTATTTTGGGGTGACTTGCAGCAGGATTAAAGGGTTATGTCAGTGTTCAAACCAGTTCAAATCTAGTGGCTGAGTTTTCTTTATCTTCTGCTGGATGTTTCTTTAGTAATTTACCTTAAGTCACTTAAGGCACGATTCAAAAGCTGGCTTCAAACCAAGGCCATATTGAGGTTTGCATTCTGATACATATGATCTTCAATCTGTGTCTCTGTCCCAGTTTTCTTTGTGGGGGAATGGACATGACACAAATATTGGTGGAACGCTTTAAGTCTGTTTTTGTCCAGAATGTGATATGATCCTTAAATTCAAAGTAGAAATTCTGTATTATTGGTGCATTAAAAGGGGTTTCTTTTAAGCAAAGGCAACAACTTTTAATTGAAGAGCAAGCTTTTTAAGGGCATGAATGCATCCATTTTTATAGCATTTTCAGGAGCTGATTATGTTGTTTGTCTTTCACAGTTTCACAATGATCCACTGGCAGCTGTAAATGCCTGTTATGAAGGAGACAGAGTCATCATCTGTCCTGGTCATTATGTTGTAGATGACGAGTTCTGCATTGCTGATTCAGTTGAACTAGAAGGTAGAAGGTTTGATAGCATAAAGGTCCTTAAAGTAAACAATGTCTTGAACAAGCTCTGCAGAAAGATTTACTTTATGTGGATACTGGTGGGAGCACTGGTTTTTTTTTGTTTGTTTGTTTTCTCTTCAAAGTATTCCTATTTCTGTTTGTAGAACCATGCCAAATGCAGGATGGAGTAAGCTGTTTCATTAGCTGTAGTTACTTCTGTGAATAAACTGCAATTTTTGCTGATTAATAGCAAATTAATAATTTCCTGCTAACCATTTGTCTGCATAAATCCTGTTTATATATAATACAGAAGATTCAAAAGAAACATAGGGGATTTGATGTTTTTTAATCTCAGAAGCATAAAAGTCATTCTGACTGGCTTCAGTTTTTAGAACCAGTAACTTAAAAGTACTTCTTTTCATGTCTTAATGTGCTTCAGAGGTGTAGTCTGAGACTCCCTGACAGTATAGTACTGGTGAATACAGAGGGCAAGAGCCAAGTGCTATTTATGGCACTTACTGCCTGTCAACGGTGTGTGTGTGGGGGGCTGAATATATATTGAATATACATTATGTGAAGCACATGAGTAGAAGAGGGAGCTGTGAATTTATTTTTGCTGTTCAAACAGACACAGCATATGTGATCACATTTTTCTTGCAAAATATTTGGTTTAAATACTTTTGTCTTGCGTAGGATAAGTTGCATTGCTTCCTCAAAGTTCCTGATTTCTCAGTATAATTCCTCTGCTTAAGACATGCACAATCTTCAGTGTATAACTGGGGCTTGTGCAGCTGTTCAGATACTTAACTGCATTTTTATTTTGTCAGATGTTCTTAATGAGAAGAAGGTTGGGAGTTTAATTTCCTGCTGTTCTGGATTTGATTTTTCTTGCCTTCTTTGTTTTATGGGTGTCATTTTCTTTCTTGTCCTCTTGTGTATGTTTGATTTATATAGATATGCATGCTAATAGACAATGCACCTGTAGGATAAAGGGTTAGAATCACAGAATAGTTAGGGTTGGAAAGGACCTTAAGATCATCAAGTTCCAACCCCCTGCCATGGGCAGGGACACCTCGCTCTAAACCATATCACCCAAGGCCTCGTCCAACCTGGCCTTGAACACTGCCAGGGCTGGAGCATTCACAACCTCCCTGGGCAAACTATTCCAGTGCCTCACCACCCTCACAGTAAAGAACTTCTTCCTTATATCCAATCTAAACTTCCCCTGTTTAAGTTTGAACCCATTACCCCTTGTCCTATCACTACAGTCCCTAATGAAGAGTCCCTCCCCAGCATCCCTATATGCCCCCTTCAGATACCGGAAGGCTGCTCTGAGGTCTCCATGCAGCCTTCTCTTCTCCAGGCTGAACAGCCCCAACTTTCTCAGCCGATCTTCATATGGGAGGTGCTCCAGCCCCTGATCATTCTCATGGCCCTCCTCTGGACTTGTTGTTGTACTAAAGTGCTTTACTTATCTGCAAGAGTGCCTTTGTTCTAAAATTGCGGGGTGGTATTCACTGCTTTTCTAGCTCTGGGAAAGCAGTAATACGAATGTTGGAACAGCACACCTATTAAAGAATATGCTGCTCTGTTTTAAGCAGCAAGGCGTATGTGCATGTATTTTTAGTATGAATCACTGAATAATGGGTACTTGCCAGGGTATTTAATCTTACATGGATTTGTGTTAGAGAAGTTTTAATAGCAATAGGAGCAGCCAAAACTGTTTGAAGTAGGGGCGTAAAGAATAATGCTGCTGACACTAATCTGAGCAGCTGGCCATTTGGGTGGCTTTCTGAGGGTGAAAGAGTGACTCATCAAAGATACAACGCTCTTTTGCTTAGTGGAGCTTTTTTTTTCCAGCTACTGTGCAAGTCAGCCCTAAGGTTGAAAGGTAAAAGCAGTAGCAACTGCAGGAAATCACAGTAAAGTTAACTTTAACACTTGACAAAAATGTGTAGCAAAGGCACCTAAGGACTTTCCTAGTGCTTGTATAGTAGTTGTTCAAGCTGGATGGGAACCTGCAGCATCAGGCCATCTAACACTTGTGGTCAATGTTACTGGATGATTATTGCTGTTAGCTCCTGGGCAGTCACTGAGCTTACAGCACGCAGCTATGACCACCTTGTGTTTTGAGCACCACTGACAGCAGGTGACTCTTTCCTCCTCTATGCCTTATCTTCTCACAGCTTCCTTTTTACTACTAGAGCTGCTACTTCAAAGGTGAAGTGTAAAGCAAGCAAAAACATGGCCAGTCTCCTGGGTTCAGCTGTAACAGTTATTCTTCACCTTAGTAGCTGGTGCAATGCTGTGGTTTTGACTTTCAGTATGAGAACAGTGCTGATAACGCACTGATGTTTTTAGTTGTTGCTAGGTAATGCTTACCCCAATCAAGGACTTTTCAGTCTCTCATGCTCTGCCAGTGAGGAGGGGCACAAGAAGCTGGGAGGAAGCAGAGACAGGACACCTGACCCAAAGTAGCCAAAGGGGTATTCCATACCACAGCACATCATGCCCAGTATATAAACTGGGGGCAGTTACCCAGAAGGTCTGGATCACTGCTCAGTTGGGCTGGGTCTCAGTCGGCGAGTGGTGAGCAATTGTTTGTGCATCACTTGTGTTTGTTGTTTGGTTGGGTTTTTTTGTGTCTGTGTGTTTTCTTTTTTCCTTTTCCCTCTTAGTTTTATGTTCTTTCCCCTTCTCATTTCCCTCACTAGCAGTAGTAGTAGTGATTTGTGTTATACCTTAGTTACCAGACTGTTCTTATCTCAACGCATGGGACTTGAATTCTTTTGATTCCCCTCCCCATTTCCCTGGCAGCAGGGCGGGGGATAAAAGGAGTGGGAGTGAGCTAGCAGTTGCATGGTTTTGAGTTACCGGCTGGGCTTAAACCATGACATTAGGAAAAACTGCAAGTAATCTGTAGGACAATTATTCCCAAAACTCTTTCCCTGGATAATAACTTCCTTCTGTGTGAAGTTAAACTATAGGTGCCATTTGCTGTTCTTTAGTGGTCTCTCTTTATGTACTAGAAGTAAACTGCCCCATGCCACCTCCCCAGGGGTGACCAAAAATCAGTAGCAGTAGGAAAAGATTTCTTAGTAGTGCAGTGTATGTCAGTCACTTAAATTTGCATTAAATCTGCTGCCTTTAAAACTTTCTGCCAACTCTTGTTTAAAGGCTTTTCTTTTGAAGCTTTCTATTTTCACATTACAGTATTTATTTATATATTTGATTAAAAGCTAGCATCCTGCTCAGGCACTTCTTATTTGATGTTGTGTGTGCTCTCAGAAAATAACATGACTCATGCTGCTTTAATAAATGTTGCATTATTGCTTTCCCTATCATGATTCTTGTCAGTGACAAGCAATAAGAGCCCTACATGCTCATAAATTTCCCTGTAAGTGGTTGAATGCTGACAACTGTGGATGGTTTTGTAAATCAATGCTGGCATATGTTTGAAGGTTTCTTTTCTGATCTGAATTAATCTGGAAGCCCATTAACACAGCAACATCAAATATGGATGTTCAGTGAGGCTTACTAACAATATCAAGTCCTTTGCACTTGTCTCCCTTGTGTTATGGTAGTGACTGCTTTTTTATATCACCTTGCTCTTCAGAACCTCTGCCTGTTCTTTTGAACCTCTGCACTTTGCAAGTGGACTGCAGGCATCAGTGTCCTTGGCTACTGCATCACCCTGTTCAGCTGTAAATTTTGGGAGTGAGAACTTTGACCTTGGCAAATTTGAGATCACTTACCCTTTTGCTCAACTGTCTAAAATAACTTTACATTTTATAGCTTGTCATTCGAGTAAGGTACCTCTTGAGCTCTGAAGACCTGTACCTTGGTTCAGAGGGGATGTATGGTGTAGCCTGGCCACTGGGTGGAAAATCATATTCAAGATATTAGACCTCAGTGCTATAACCTCCATATTTAAATGTCTGTAATTTAGCACCTGACCATTACCAATTATTCATCAAACTTCTCTCTTTCACCTCTGCTTCAAGGCTATGGCCTGCCAGATGATATTGTGATAGAAAAACGAGGGAAAGGAGACAACTTTGTTGACTGTACAGGAAACAATATAAGGATCTCCAGTTTGAAGTTAGTGGAGCATGATGCTGCGGAGGGGATTTTAAGTAAGTATAAAAGTATCTTGATCTCTTTGTGACTCTTTCATAATTTGCTCATAGAATTAAAGCTGGGACACAGTGTTGGAATTTACTAGTTTTAACAAAATACTATAGAGTGGAGCCCTGCAAGTATAAATATCCAGGCTTCCCCCCCCCTCCCCCTTTTTTTTTTTTTTTAAACTTGCTCATAATGTGGAGTTCAAAACAGAATCTACTTTCTGCATTTTTAAGCTATTGTGGTTTTTGTGTTTTATTCTTATAGTTGGGTAAGATCATTTGACTGGATCATTTTTCTGCTGGCAAGGCTGCCTGCCTCTGACTTCTGCACAGCCTCTGTCAGGCAACCTGGAAGAGGAAATAATTTCTCTTTCCACAGAAGAATGTTGTCCATTGAGGAATGGCATATGCTGTAGAAGTAGTGTAGAACTTTGCAAACAGCACAGTCAAATTGAGGCTCAAATAATCCTACATTGTATCCAATTAATTTATTGGCCATGGTCCTTCTGTCTTTTCAGATGGTGCCAATTAAAATTTTGCCTCCAGACATTTGGTTTTAAAATGTGTTAAAATGTCTTTTTTTGTCACCTGTATGCATGTATTCAGTATCTTATTTAATCAGAAAAGAACAGTTGCTGCCACTTTCAACAAAAAAAAATAAAAGCCAAAGAAACTCTAAGAAATTCTTGACTTGTGCTCCCTTGCAACAAGGCTCTGGCTTATACTAAAAAAATTAGCATGAGCTCACACCATGCATGTGGACCTGAAGTGGGTAAGGTTAAAATAGTAATTTTATCACACTGCAAAAATGCTACAAGCTCATCTATGTGTAGGAAAGGTTTGCTTTTGCATAACTGATTAATTTAACAATATTTCTTTTTTACGTATGTAGATGTCCATCATGGGAAAACAACCTTGGAGAATTGTGTGTTACAATGTGAAACTGCAGGTGTAACAGTACGAACTTCAGCTGAGCTGTTAATGAAAAACTCAGATCTGTATGGTGCCAAGGTACAAAATTCTTAACTGTGGCTGGTTTCCCAAATTAAAATAAAGGTTTCTGCTTGGAAATAATTGTTTATAGCAGGGTGACTTTTGTTGCTCTTGAGAGAACCTTTACAAACTCATTTGGGACAACTACATGTTACTGAGTTTAAGGAGATTGGTCCCAGGGATCCTGTAGCCTCCAAGAGTATCTAGTGAAGTGTCTCATGCTGATTTGCATGCAATGATACAAAAATTATGAAATAACAGGGTATATCTGCGACATAATCGTTGCTTCATTGCTGGACTGATTCATGTTATTGAACAAAGTGATCTTCCGTTTTCTCTGCCCACAAATTTTCTCATTAAACCTTTCATTTGTTCTGCAAATGAAATGCCCTTTTTGGAAACCTTGTGCATTGATTCTTACAGAGGGATGGTAGAGAACAGACATGAACTCTGATTAGGACATTTCAAAGAACAATAGGGCTTTGAGTGTTGAGGTGCATAAGTGAAGAACACGAATGTAATGCACAGCTATGCAGTTACTCTTTTACCAGAGCTTTTATGGGCTGGTAGCTATAATGTTATGCATGAGGCCTCAAACCTGAGTATGCTGCTTAAATTGGTTAGCAAAGCTGTGAAGCTGGTGCGGTAACACAATTTTGCATTGCACAAATTGCTAATTGAACAAAAAGATCTGCAATGGAGCTGTCTAGTTAGATTGGAAGTGTCTGAACTACTTGTAAACTTCCACCAATTTCACCTTGTAGAGTCCTGGTGTGGCAATATATCCAGGTAGTACGTGCACCCTGTTGGGCAATGGCATACACCACTGCAAGGAGGGAATACTCATAAAGGTAAGCTCAAGGCAGAATGTACTTCTTCTAAAGCTTATAGCTGCTAAAGTTAATGCAAATAATTTGTGTTTAGGCTGGCTTTATAACTTTGCTGCCTTATGTTAGAACTTTTATATGTCACACATGATGATAATGTACTTGTCCACCAAAGCAGTATACTTATTTTCTTTCTTATTTGCAGAAAGAGAATGCCTTTTACAACATCACCTGCATAGGCGAATAACAGAATTCTAGCCAATGCATAGAACTTATTCTACCTAAAACTGAAAATTTTGCATCCCTTTAGCTGTACATAACATGTTGGATTTCCATTTCTTTGCTATAGAACTTCTTAGATGAACACCATGACATCCCCAAGATAACCATGATCAATAATATGATCCATAATAATGAAGAATGTGGTGTGGTCCTGGTTAGACCAACAATGCCCTCTGATGTGAATGATGCTTCAGCAGAGAGAACAAAAGGTATTTTTTTCTTCCTATAAGAAACTCCTAAAGCTAGTAAATCTAGTAACCCAGGTTTTTTGATTGCCTAATTCATAATCATCTTAAATTTTCTAATGAAATCTACATTGATTTAGCTGAAATGAATGTTCATAAGTCTCAGAACACTGGAATTTCTTGAAGGATAAACTTGCTGCAGAGGAGCACTCTGGATGTCTGTGCTTCATGGCGTGGTGCACTTTCACTGAAAAGTCTTTATGTACCTGATCTGTGCTCCCTGCTAAGCAGAGCCTGTATGACTGATGGACCTCCTCAGGTCATATGGAAACCAGAGTGTGAGCAGCCAGCAAGCAGAAATGGCTTCTTTTACAGTCCTCCTGGTTCATAATAATTCTCTTTTTTTTTTTTTTTTTTTTTGGTGCATTACATCTGAGTTGTGCTCCCAGTACAGTTTTTTGTTTGTTTGTTTGTTTTCTGCAGGAAATAGAATGTGGCCACTGTATTTTTCATACTATCTTATATGTCTTACATCACTTGGCAACTTGATGTCATCTCAAGAAGAAACCTTTTCCTCAAGCATCTTACACTGTATTTGGAATAGGTGTCTGTCACTAACTAGCTACCCAAAAAGGGAGTAGGATGAGGTGAAGATGTGAAGACTGAAGAAAACTTAATTCCAGGAGTTTTAAATTATTTTGCAGTTTTGCATGACTGATGACATTCTTATTGTTTTCTGACCTAGGGAATACTCAGCCTACCCAGTCAGGCAGCGGGACAGCCTGTGCAGAGGGCTTCAGGCAAGAACTACCACCTGAATGTTTAACTGATGAGTTGGAGCTTTATGAGCAAGCTGAGATTTCTGAACAAACTGAAAGCAATTACAAAATTGCACATGAACTCATGGTTACTTATGCGAAGAGCCAGCTGGAGAAGAGAAGACTGAGTGAACTGGGAAGTACACAAGCTGATGACAACTTAGTGTCACAGGAAATGTTTGTTTCTATTGTGGGCAATCAGTTCAAATGGAATGGGAAAGGAAGTTTTGGTACCTTTCTTTTCTGTCCTGACACCTAATGGCATTGCAATAAGAGATTAGCATAAGCTCTTGTTTTCACTGCTGCTTTCGAAGGAGTTAATCTGTTCTATTAGCCTTCCATAATGTTACTAAAATGTCACAAATATTTATTAATAGTATATGTGTATAGTATGTGGGAACTTTGCTTCCTTGCGGCAAGTATGGATAACATGGTAGGAAACAGAACTCTAGCATGGAGACTGTGCATGTATTCTGCTAATCTACAGATGCTGCTGCTTTGCTGGCTCTGATTAATTTCTTTTGTGTATTTAACTTCTCATTGTACAAAAAAAAAAAAAAAAAAGCCACCCAAAAACCCAAACAAAACCTGCAAAGAAAGAAAATATAGATAGGAGTATAGATAGGGTTCATCATGGAAGAGCGGACAACAAATGTGCAGCATTATTGATATGTCTTCATATTTTTTTAAAGCATCACTAGTCTGTAGCTGACTCCTGTAAGATAATGGACATACTCAATTTTTTGCACTGAGCAGAAGCCAGTGAAGTGGTCTTCCTTAGGACTGTAATGGTTGGCTGTCAAGCTTCATACTTGAAGGACTGCCTACTAAAAACTAGGATCTGGAAGGGTAACATCATTCAGTCTTCCATATCTTCCTGTGCCCAGCTGTTTATTTTCAACAGCTACCAATGCCTGTGCACCTTTTCCTTAGGAAAAACAGCATCTAATGGAACTCCATTAATCTGAACAGGGAGAAATCAAAACAGATGTCTCTTAGTGGTATACATACTGTACTTTTGCATTCTGAAACTTTCAAAACCATATGCAGCTTGAGGTTTTGGAAATGAATGGGAAATTTTTAAAGTGACTTTCCACTGCAATCTTACTAGGCCAGAGCTGTGGAACATTCAGTAAAACAAAGGCACTTCACTGGGTTGCTGTTGCACATTATTAGCTCTTACTTGAGGGAAAAATTAGAAGGATTCTGACTTAGGGTTCTCTCTTTTCCAGGCCTCTCTGAGTTTTAATTGAAAATTTATATGCCTTCTTCAAAAGTTCATTTCTGTCTTCAAGGGTTGTAGGGCAGGCTTTGAACTGGTGTGTAAAATGCATGTAGGAAAACATACCTCATAGGTAACTCCTAAGTGGTTCAGGATGTCTTATGAAACAGAATCAGATACAGTGTTAAGAAGGAGCAAAGCATCTTGCCAGCGCATTGGCTTTGGAATAACTTGTGAAAGCAGCTTAGTAGGTTTATGCTTTCACTGGAAAGGAAGGAATGGATTGCCTGGAAGTGGATGAGAAGAGCCTGATCCAGATTCTTCACTCTAGCCATTCTTAAATGGAGATAACAATCAGAATTTTCTTCAGCATATGCCTTGTTTTAGTGTGAGCAGCTGATAGAAAGGAAGAGAAAGGAGTAATTCATAGGCTTCCCCCCCCCCCCCTCCCCCCACTGTGTGTAGCACAGAATTCATTGCAGCTTTCCCAGTCCACTGCTGCTGGATTTGTCCTTGGGAAACTTGACTTCAGGACTAAGCTTTGCATTTTGATGAACATAAATGCCATTGCAGTATCTCAGTGTGTAGAAACCATAAATGTTTGCCACTTAGTGAGTATGAAGAAATACTTGAGTCAAGTGAAAGTCAAATGCCAATGCCTGCAGTAGTTTAGTATCTTAAGCTATACATCAAGTCACTTGCCATGTTTCATGCTTTGATGTTTTGCCTTTATTTCCTGAATGAAATCCTTATTAAAGAGCTGGGGCTAAAAACGTTGTTGTGTCGTCTTCTCAAAACTAATTCTCCTGAGTGAGTGCCCTTTGCGATGTGTTTCCCTTGCACTGCATTTTAGGCTTGGTTTATCCCTTGATGGCCTCTGATCTCAATGTTTTAAAATTTAACTTTACATTTATGAAGACAGTGATAAAAATGTAACTTTGTGCTTTTATTACCACCATTTTTATTATTATTTTGCCTGTTCCTGTGCCAGGTGCCAACAGTGATTCTAGTGTGCAGGTTGTCAATAGGTCAAGGAGTAGAATGTGAAAAGAAGGCTGCTAGTACAACTTCCTGTCATTATCTTTGTGCAGGAACTGCATATAAAATTGTGCTTAAACTCTTGATGAGACTTGTATCTCAAGGAACTAAGCTCTGAATGACGAGGAAGGAGAGGAAATGGAGGAAATAGAAATGAATATATGTGTCCAGTAGGTATGACTTGGGTGCAACTCCTAAGATCACTGTCCGAATACTTGTAATACCACACATGCCTTGGAAGACAACGGTCATGTAATTGAACTGTGTAACAGGCCACTTTATTAATATATATTGATGCAACTCAGCAATTCACGTTTTTATGTCATGTGCAGGGGAATAGGCTGGAGGTGTTGGACTTCTCAGAGATTAACTTTCAGACAACTCCTTGATTCAGTTCTTCCTTGTGCCCACAGGCAGATTTTTTACTTAGTGAATTGATCATCCAAATCTAGCAGCAGTAGTTACCCTTCCCTCCTTTTTACAAATGCTTTTATTCCTGTGGCTCACTCAGGAACATTAGTGTTCAGACTAATTTCAGCTTTTGGCATGCTTGTTCATAGTTGTTCTTGACTGGCTCTTGTGATTGCTGCTCTAGTAGGTCCCCTAGCATGTCATGGTTTGCAGGTTGAGTCACTTGCACTGTGTGATGCACTTGTGTAATATTTGGTAAGTAACTGGGTAGTCTCAACCCACTTGAGTAAGACCTTAGATCTTACAGCTGAAAATCAAACCTTGAAAGCAGTAGCCTAACAGAAATATCACTTTGAGAGTCCTCAAAGAATCTTTTAGATCATTCCTTCAAAAGCTTAAAACATGCCCTTTTGTTCAAACACTTCTCCCCAGGTGTGGTGAGCTTATTTAATAGTGTGAAGTATGTTTGTCACAAGTTATTAATTATATGTAATTTATCACATTAACACATTCCTAGTCCTCATAAAGTCACCCTATGCAGCTCTTTTTAAAGGAAGTGCTATTCACTGATGTGCTACTGCAGTTTGGAAGAAAAGCATTGCAGGTTAAAGTTCATGTCTGGCTGGCAGTGTACCTTTCTCTGAAATGAGGTGGCCTGATGCTCACTGCTTCTAAGGCTATCCAACCCTGTTTGATTCTGAAACAAGTAAGATTGTGACTGGAATATTGGTATCATAATGATATTTTAGCTATCAGTGGTGTTTCATGACTTTAGGAAGGTATTCTATACCTGAGTATTTCCTCCCTATGCCTCTGTCAGGGTGGATGTGGTGTAACTGCATGTCAAGCTGTCTGTGCCGTTAGACCCTCTGCAGTCTGCAAATACTTTTTTAATTCTACTCTCTGATGTAACGATGTAGTGGTGTTGCCTTACTCTTCTGTTCAAAGATGTCTTCCAGATTTTCTTGGTTCCTACACTTAATAATAGGAGCAGATAATAATTCTTGCTGTCCTTAGGGCCTGGGAGCAGATTATAGAAATGTAGAAATTAGTATTTGAAAGCACAATGCATGTACATAAGGAGGCTTGACGTGCTTTTTTTCACTGTATGGGGTGAAGCTGTTGCAATGCTAGCATCTCCCCTTTTCCTAGAGTCAACATTCTTCTACCTAAAAGCTTCTGGATTTTTGGACTTGGGTTATTTAGAGACAAGTACTTCTAGCAATACTTTCAAAAATGAGATTCAAATTATGTTTTCTCTCCAGGATGTTTCAAAACCATTTTTTAGGTTTGAACCCATCTGCAATTACTTTTTGCTACAGTTTGTACTAAGTGAATATCTTATACAGGGGGGACAAGACATCTTCATGTGTGAATTTTTTGTGTTTGACGCTGGGGGCAGACAGAACTCCTGATTATTTTTGTCTTTTTTTTAATGCACATAAGATCTTTCTGTTTACACTGACTGAAATATGGGGATAAAACACAATCTTTTGGCCTTAAAATGGGATGACGAGGTATGAAGGCATTTGTCTTGCATCTTACTGCTTTCCTGGTCTTCAAAGTCCTTCCTTTGTGCTACCTGGTGAAGTAGAAACATGATGTAAAGCATGTGACTGCCTCACGTACCCAGCATTCCACTGTGGCTGTCTTCTATTCCAGTAATCCATCTCTGTTGGGGGTTCATAAGACAGTCATGCTTTTTATTTCTTTTTTGGTGCTGTATCCTGTAGCACTAGATTGTTTTCCAGTTGTGAAGCTTCGCGTTTTTGTTTGGATATGAAGAAGAAAGCCTGTAATCATCTCACAGTAGATGCTTGATGATTTTAATTAGAATAATTAAATTCAGGGAGAGCAGCTGAATTAACCAGATTTAGGTTGTTATTTCAGTGTATCTGTTTATTCATGGACATTCTGTTACGGTAATTTTTTCTCTTTGGCTGTGCACAACAGGCTTACTCCTGCTGTCTGCTGTAAAGTGATTCAGTCAATTAATCTCTTTGGATTTTTAAACTGCAATTTATTTCAAATCAATAAACAATTTGCCAAAACCCTCCCACACAGATGAACATTGATTTTGTTTTTTCCCATTAGGTATGTGAACTACTTGTATTTTTACTCCTAATGACAAATCAGTTTCAACATTTCAATGCAACGTGACTTTGATCTTCCTTCACTGACTGGGAGTAATTTGAACAAACCAATAACTATTTTGCCAGTGCTGTATAGAATTTTCTTTGTCTGTATTGCTATATTATTGGGAAAAGTTGTCTGAGACTGATGTTGCAGGGAAATTATAGTAAAGGCATAGAGGAAATCATCTTTCAGTCCGATAAATGTATATTATAGTACATAAGTGCTGGGACAGAAAACTTGATGAGACCAATATCATGTATAAGGGCCCTATGTTATGGTGAAATTCACCATTTTTCTTCCCAAACTAATTCCAGAAATAGCTAATGGGGAAAGCACTCTCAGAATCCACTTCCTTTCATGTGGTGTTTGGTTTCTTCTTAGAATATAATTACATTATAGGCTGGATAACCAGCTTGATTTAAGCTGTATCTTTTAACATGGAAATATACTCTTAGTTTTACAACTGCAATAATGCTGTTTCTATGAAACTTCATATAAAATTGCTAATTGTTCTTCTCTATGCTTCTGCTATTGGTCATTATTGGAAACAGCAGTCTGGCCTCCATCATGTTGCTTTTCTTAAATGGTGTCCTGGGTTCAGCAGTAGCGGTAATTCTTTTTCTCCTTCTCAGTAGCTGGTGCAGTGCTGTGTTTTTGACTTTCAGCCTTGGAACAGCACTGATAACACTGATGTTTTTAGTTACTGCTCAAATGTTTGGTCTGACCAAGGACTTTGTGAGCCTCATGCTCTGCCAGGGAGGGGGGA